AACTATATTTACCATTTTTTTAAAGATTTATCACCATTACTGGTTAAACTCGCTTCGCTGGCTCGTTACACTGGACAAATATGCCAGGGAGTTTCTTGGCGATAGAAATACAGGTGAGTCGCCAGGACCATTCGGATTTTTGGACAGGTTTACTACTGCGGGGAATAGAACTTTAGTATCGACACTCCAAATCGAACAACAACCCACTAAATCATCCCACGCCCCAAGTTTATTATTTATTTTTTATCATTTTAAATTCTAATTGCTTTAAAGAAGACAAATAGGAATATTCAATTAATTTAGAACCTATATATACTGAAGAATTCATTCGCTTCAACAGTTGAATTAATTGTTGTTAATTCGATTTTCTTCGATTTTTCACGATGATATTCATATGTATGGATGTATTTAAATAAATTTAATTATAAATATAACCATTGCAAATATTTCATCAAATTTCGTCTCATTTGATCCTAATTAATTAACTTTTTTTTGGCGATTATAACCGATTTCTTTTTTTATTTAATCATTTTTTTTTAATATATTTAAATGCCCATAGCGATCATTATATCGTTGTTTTTATTGACGAGTGGACTTAGTAACTTCAATTTTTGATCCTTTAACAGAAAGCTGGAAGTTTGAGGGGTTTGTTCCATTGACCCATTTATCGTCAGATAGTTCTTGCTTCCTAATATCCGACACGAACATTGGTCCGAGAGATATCCGAACGACTCTAGTTTGCGACACTCTTATATTTGAGTGTTCAGAATATGTAAACTTTCAGCGGCTTGCATTAGTACAGTAGTATGAATTCTGTTCTTAGAGGAGTAAAATCGTTACTTAAAATAAAATTCAAATAAAGATTTATCTTTATCTTTTCTATTCTTAAGTGTTTAAATTTGTGGGAAAGATCATCTTTTCATTTAAGAATATTGAAATTTGCATAATTCCTTAGAATCTTTGCAATAATAATGCTGAGAAACTTGTTGATTATATTTATCATTCATTTTCTGAAACGGTCGTTTTGCTTGTTCATTTATTTTGATTAATTTTTTTAATATTTTAAATCGTATTTAAAGAGCTTTCAGAGATTTCATGTCACTAAATTTTTATTTTATTCCTGTAAATTATAATTAAATATTGAATCATAAAGGCGATTTCACTAAAGAGCTCAAAATGGCACTTATAAGATAAAATTTTCTTAACAATTTCTTATCAATTATATTTATTGTTGTATGATTAGCCATAAGCAACGCTTACTTATTAAGAAGTAATTCTATATTATTATTAGAAGTAATTCTAATTAACTTATGAAAAAGATTAAATTACTCCGAGTTTAATTATAAAAAATTGTAAAAATTTTTCGTAATTTAAAATATATTATTTTAAATTGCAATAAATCTATTCATTTTATAGATAAAAACTCTTGAACTCTTAGTGAACAAATTACTAATAAGCAAATGTGCATTGCATAAAAAAAAGGTATAAATAGGATTTTAAAAATGCTAATCGATGCATGCAAAAAGTTTGTTGATCTAACGCTTCAGATTATAGAGCTTGATAAATCCAATATAATCGGGCATTTTCAATAAAACTGTCACTATTAATCAAATATCAACGATTGGACAACTAATCATAATAAGTGAATAAATAAATAAAATAAATTGAAAATCCATTTTTAATTCATTAAATTAATTAATATATTAATAAAATTATGAAAAGGAGAATTAATTTTAGCACGAAACGAAGTGGGTAATTGCTAGAATAGAAACCGTTAGAAAATATTTAGTCGAATTTATTCTTACGAGGATTTTTCTAGCAAATTATATTATGATTAATGGATATAAAGTAATGATAAAGTAGTGCATGTTAATCGAAAAAAAAATGAGAACCATGTTCAAAAATTTCTATTTTTTTTACGATTCAATTTTTTTCTAAAGCTCTTCACCTAATTAGATTCGCTCAATTTTGATATGACTTGTCGCGTGAAAGAAATTTTTCCAAGAAGCAGCTATTTGACGATGGAAATGCAGATGGATCGTTACTCGGATCGTTTGCGCTTTTTTCTCCTTTCGGGAAGCCATTTGTCGATGTATCAAAATGAGAGCAATAGCATTCTTTTATTGTACTCAAAAGATATCTAATTTTATCTAATTTTTTCAAATTTTTTTTCGGATCACTTGGGACGTTTCTCATTAATTTTGTTCTAAAATTTAATGTAGTTCATTATTCAAACTTTTTTTTCCTAATTATTTCTAATTTTATTACAATTTTTTTCGCTTTAATTTTCTAAAAATGTGCAAATAAATGCTAAATTTATATTGCGCTTACGCTTAAATCTTCTTCTTTTTTTTTTAATATTCTTTAATATTCTTATTAATTGCTTTTATCTCGCAAATATTTGCCTATATTCCGAATGCATTCGCAAATTCTAAAATTCTACCTTAAAACAATAAAACGATTTTCGCACGGTTTCGAATTTTTATTGCACTTATTTTTTTCGCATTTTTTTCTATTTAGCACGAGCTTTTAACATTCATTATAAACGCAATTTCCAATCTTTTTCTTGCATTCATCCTCTTTTCAATTATTTCAAAATTTATTCGTTTTAAAAGAAAAAGAAAAGTAAAAAACTAAAATATTTAAGTTGCCTCGATTGTTCTCCAATCGACACGTCGAGTTCCATCGATGACACCGCTGCAACGATCAACGTCGGGCAAATCTTTCTTTATTTTATTTTATTCTTCTATTCATGCTTTTAGCTTATTTATTATTGTCAATGATGAAATAATTATTATATGTGAACTGAATTTATTAACAATAACCTTTCGCTTAAAAGCAGCAATAATAATAATAGATAATAACCATAGTAGAAATAATGAAAACAATTGTTCATATGTTTGCTATATTAAAATTATTCTTTAAGAGACGAGTGGAGAATACTTATTTAGTATTTCTAATAAATGCCTAAAATATGAATAAATTGCAATAAATTATTGATGAATGAATATTAATTAGGCTAAAAAAGAAGAAAAGTGGCTCGATTGGCTTAGTGCGTTGTTGGCCACATTTCGGAGTGTCGTTACCAATATTCCCAGTATTCCCAGTACGGATAAACGAATGTTGCTGACGATTCATTCATATTTCTATCGCTTAATTTTGAACTGAATTGAACTGAACTGAATTTTTATAACTATAAAAACTTGTTCAACCATACAGCTAGCTGAGAGCAAATTTAGCCAAAAAATTTTAATAAATCATTTTAAAGAAACTATTTTTAGAAAATTTAAAATAAAATTTATGAAAAAATAATAATGAGAAAAGAATAAAATAAAGAAAAATTAGCGATAATATTTATTCTCAACATAATAGATCTTTCCGAGCTAAAAATCATGAATCTTAAAATGGAATAAATAAGCTATTGAGTGAAACAAAAAAACAATGATTAAGCAATAAAAAAAAAGAAAATTCAAGAGAAAAATCCACTTTAATTCACCTTGCACATAATTTTTTTCTATAAATCACTCATGAAAATTATATGGATCTGACGTTCATTCCAAAATTTAGCATAGCATTTGACCGCTTAAAACCTTTTTTATTTTATGACTTTTGAAATTTCCTTCTAATGAGGCAAATAAAATGAAAAAATTTCTATAAAAGGTGAAGAAATGGATTGTTGCGTTGTGGTGGTGCTTTCTATCGTTTTATGTCATAAAACACGTCGTGGGAATTGCCTACGAATCGAGTAATTTTATTCTAATCGAAAAGACTATATAATCTTATTTGCTGCGTATCGTTAGCTTTCAACTAGAATTTATAAGTTTGCAATTAAAATTTGGAATCGTTTAAAAAGATTACTAAGAACATGGATTGTCGATGAACGATGAAGAAATAATGAAATTTATCGAACAACGATTTTTCCTCTTCTTCTCACATGACGGGTTTTAATTTCTCTGGTTAGGTCATAGGTCACGCTAAGGATTCTGCTAGTTCCAAGAATACTTAATTAATGGTCGTTTTAATTTGATTCTTTGTAGTTTCATCTTTTGTGCTTTTATTTATTTTAATAAATAATTTTAAAAAATCAATTTTGGTATTTCGATACAACTTTCTAATTTCCAATTGCATATAAAATAGCAATGGCTCTAAAAGTTTTAATATTAGTGGATTAGATAAATTTTGCTATAATTCAAAATTTTTTGGCTCTGAATTAAAGAAACCTAAAAAAACGTAGTAGTTAGCTAAGGTTTGGGTATTTTTGTATTAGCAAAATTTGTATTTAACCTTTAGTTATTTGAAGATAACCGTTCAGATAGGTAGATTTGCAATATCATTTGAATTTCACTTTTAACAACAAATCGATTCAATGGTTTTGCTTAAGTCGAAGTCGTACCAATACGACTCAATAACTTTTTCATTATTAAATAAATGTGAAAAAAAAGAAATCGAACAGAATTTCAATAATTACAATAGTTATTGTATATATGGAATGAATTCTTTTTATTTACAGATGAGGCCAAATTCGTTTTGTTGTCTTAACAACACTGTCATTTATTGATAATTGATATATTCGTTTGGCCATGCTTATTTTTTTAATGTGTTTTTTGCAAACAGGTAAAAAAACAATGATTTAAAAATTTCATTTGATAACAAAAACACTCAGCAGATAACAGATGAATGTTATCTTATATAGGATAACATGGTGACTCATTCATTCATTCATTTATTAAGGTGTCCTAAAAATAATGTGAAAAATTCGATGAGAGGGAAATAACAAAAAAATTTCAAAGAGTGGATTTTTGCTATAAAATTTATTGCATGGCCTTAACAACAAATTTGGAAATATTTCAGTTATTAACTGGTAAATGCAAAAAATAAATCGACATTCCTCGAGAGTTTAATCCAGGAAAACTTACCATGAAAACACTAAATTCGATATGCAATTTCCTTTTAGAATAGTTTTTTTTATTTCTACAAATAGATTTTAAGGGATTTCATTGATGTGCATGCAATGCAGTCGACATGATTTGTGGTACTCGCCTCATGAAAACGAAAAAGCCATTGAGAAATGTCAAAGAGGACAAATACAACCCACACTTTGCCATAATATTTCTTCAACGCACTGTATTCGAAGTTTTTATAGAAAAGGCTTTGATTCAGGTTATTTTAATTCGAATCCAGTTAATCCAGAAAATTAAAATTAAAATCCAGAAAATAAAAATGAAGATAACAGTTGCTTTTATGACTATTTTTGAATCGTTTAATCGGGACATATTAATTTAATTCAAAGACAGCGGCCTTATCCATTTTTTATTTATATTTGTTAAAATAAATTTTGTTAAATTATTGAATCTCTATTGAATTAAATGATAATAATTAACATTATTATTGCTTTTGTAAATAAAAATAAATAATGAAACAAGAATTCTTTTAATTATAGGCAAATGAAAACAAAACTAGATGGGAATATTAGGTGACATTAATCTGGGCTCAATAGGCTAAAGTATTAAAAAGAGGATGTCTAAAAATTAATTCCTTGGCAGATAAAGGCAAAGGTTTCGGTAGGGCCGAGTTCCCGAGTTTGAGAAATGTGTTTCAACAGAATAGGACAGGTATTTACTGTTGAGCGATCAAGAATTATTAAAGAGATTAAAGGGGTTCACCTACTATCAATATTCATCCAATCCAATCCAATATTATATACTCTTAAGTATTTCTTGATTGAATTTCCAAAAACAGCATAGCATTTTGGCAGTATTTAGATAAGAAGTCACATGGTATTGGTAGACACAAGCGGTTTTAGCCCATGAATACAACGATATTTTAGAATACTGAGTGATAAGAGAGCTTTGAAAGCTACAGCAGATTCCGATAAACATATCAAAGAGCTATCTAAGCGATTTTAATGGTATCTAAGCGACAGATCATGCAAGGAAATTTATGATAATGATGATAGCGGCGCATGGAGAAAAAATACAAACAAGACTGATTAAAGATAGCGTAGTTTTGAGAAGTTAAGGGACAAAGGGACTTAGGACTCTGAAGAACAGGATTTAACGGCATTCTTCGCATAATAATTTGTACTGCTTGCTTTGCTTCTTGGTGAGTTATATTTCTCCAATCAAAACCATTAACCAATAATTATTCTCAAATTTCTACTTAGAATAGTTCCATTGGCTCTTAGATTATTGAGAAATTTTTGCCAAATAGTTATTTGAGAATAATTCGATATCTCCAAATAGTTTTTATCATAAAAGATCAATATGATACTTCTACAAGATGGTTTTATATAACAAATTATTTTCAGGCGAAATCATTATTGAGCGAAGATGTGGTGTACTTCAGGAAATTAGCGGTTGTACACTTTATAAATCACCGCGTAAGGTCAGCACTTTTTTAATTGACAGCTAAAATGCGTTATGATGGGCAATATTACAATGCAATCATGAAGGAATAAAAATAGAAGAGCCTGATTAGCCAGTCGAGTATCACATTGAATATCACGAATGAAGCAGGCGAAGTACCGAACAAGCTTGCTGCATTATAGTATGGCATTAGTATAGTATGGTATTATAGTATGATAGGGCGTGCTTAATCTTTGTAAATTGGAAGCCTATAGTTTGCAGATCTTTGTGGCTTTTTCCTAGGTGATTTTTTATTTTATTGTAGATTAGTTAGCCATATATTAATAAAAAGGAAAGTGGATTAGGCGAGTAGTTAGTACCTTAGATTATTGGGTTAAGAATCGGTTCCTACTTTCAATAGGAATAAGCCTGGCAATAAAAGGATGTTGCTCGTAATTCTTCTTTACTTTTATAGCCAAATAAGGAGACCTTCCTTAATATAAATTCTAAACAGCTAACGAGTGAGTCCAGCCAAAAACAATGAACGCTGACCACTTACTTACTTTATTATTACTTTATTTTATTATTAATTTATTATGGTTCACTTACTTGTTATAATAAATCTTATTATTTTATTATAATTGTTTATCACAATATAATAAAATTTATTCAGAAACGGCATATAATTTGGAATGAACCAGCAGCTAAACGTGATACCTCACAAAATTCCTTCGTCGAAGTATGTGTTGAGGGTTGTGAAGGTGAAAGCTGTATTATGAATTCCGTACCTGCATCGTTATCGTTATTGTTTTATTCTTGTCGTCTTATATCGATATTTTTGTTTTTCATTTGTTTTCTAAAGAGTTTTTAGGCCTTGGAAATAGGCTTAAGCTTAAAAAGCCTAAGGCTTATTTTTTTATTAATTTTAATTTTAATTTATTTACAAAATAGCTTAATTATATTATTGCCTATAAAACTATTAGGTTTTAGGGAATTTTTTGAGAAAAAAATCAGTAATTCCGCTTTTTTTAAGTTGTATTCCAGTTTACACAAAGATCTAATGCGATCTATTAGCTACTGTAACAAATAAGTGTAGCTGGAGTCGGATTTTTCTAAGCTAGGATTACCTCAGGCTTGGCGTTACCAAATAATAGCAATTCTACTAAGCCATTTCAGTCTCTACTACTGAGTTCAGAATAATTTTGTAACCATTAAAACATTCATTAAAATTTACGATTAAGTTTTTTTTAGCATCAACAGTTTTTAAATTTGATATAATATTTAAAAATTTAATAATTTAACAATTTAATAATGTATGAAAAATTTGTGGTGGTATGGGCCATCTTTACATCGGGTCCTCTACCACAGAGCCTCATGAGATTGAAGCAATGCTGATAAACTTACACAGGATCTCACTCAAGGATCCTCACCGGAAATAGAGAAGATTCGCTATGATTCGGATCGTTTTTGTTTCATTTCACATTAATCACCCGCTGTAATCACCATCCTAATCCGGTGTGTCTATATGTATCTGAATTTGAAGTATTCCATAAATTATAAGTTACTTAGATGACCTTTTTGCCAGAGAATTGCTCGAAAATAGTTATAAATAAATTAATCAATTTCATTTTAATAAACTGATAAGATCCATTTTATGCGCATTCAGGCTGATGAGGAGACTACGGTATTCGATTAATTCTTGAGCGCTCTTCAGTTATCAGTTATCAATTCGATTAATATTAACTATTCAGTTATTCGTTTCAATTATTCATTATCACTACATCTTTCATAAGAATATAAAATTATTTATTTTATTCTATTGTATATTTTATATTTTTTATATTTCAATTGTATATTTTTTTTGCAAAATTTCATTGACTGGTCGTTGTTAAGGTCATAAATCTTACATGGTTTCATTTTTTAATGAAAAATTTGCATAATAATAATAATAATAACAATAATAATAGTAATAATAGTAATAATAGTAATAATAATAATAAAGATAATAATTAATAATAACAGCAACTAATAATAAAAATAATTAATAATAATATTAAAAAATAATAATAAATGATGATAATGGCACTATGGTATGAAACCTTAAGCCTCGTTTTTTCAGTTAATTACTCTCCTAAAATATCTGTCATGCTTTAAAAAAAATTTTCCCAATCCCAATAGTTCACCCAAAGCCTTCATTATGTTTTCTACCACGTGTCAACACCACTTTCACCATTTTACCATTTTAGCAACTTTAGGACACACCTCTTCCCACCTAAAGAGCGGAAGTTCCAGAAATGCAACTATTCATTAAGCTTTACATATATATGTACTGGTGGATGGCCTAGTATTTGCCTCAACCTTGCCAGCATCAAACGAATCAATTATTAGACCAAGTAAAAGCAGCCATTAAAATATGCAAGCTATGCATACACCATTGAATACCTAGCCAAAGTCCTTTTCTAGGAAAAATTCCAAACTGATAGGTGCTAATTATTTATGCATTCATTAAAATGTTATAAACAGCAAATAAAATTCAAATTTACTAAAGAATAGCCACTTTGCATAATATATTTTTACAGAGAAAAAATTTATTCACCGAAAATTTAAAAATGAAAAAAAAAGATACAAAGATGTTTTATTGAAATGGAATATGAAAGAATTCAAAGGATTCGAGAACAGCTGGAAAAAAATGACTGAAAACAATTTCACAAAATATAATTCAACAAAGATCGTAAATTCAAGAGATATTTGCCCTTCCTGCTGATAATATTGGTTCTTTGGCTAATAATGAATCAGGAAACAACTGTGAGTAACTTGCCAAGGGTACATAATTCGCGGTGATAACTTTACCTGCAAAATATTTTTAACATGAAATTTGATATAATTCAATTGTTTAGAACTATACATACAATATAATTTTAAAAAAATTATTTTTCTAATCTTCTAAAATAAAAATTATTCTATTCTTAAAAAAATTCTTTTCCCACTCTCTTTGGGTGATACAGGATATTCTTAATCTCTGGCCCTTCTCCAGAAGTCTTAGGGCTTGAGTACCTTAGCTGTTTTCAGCGTAGCACTCTTCTAGACGGAACTCTGATGCTGTTCGAAATCTGTCGAAGCCTTTTCTAGTTTAGAGGACCCTAACACCACAAAAACTATTTTCGCTTTCACTTTCAACATTTCTATTTACTCATTCAGGCTCTAGCTCTAGTATTTTTTTAGCATCTCATATTCAGTTTGTGACATTCATTTGGAAATACTATATCACTAATGCAAATTCTTATTTACTATATGGTTATTAGCCTACTTGTTTGTCTACCTGGATGGAGAAGTTCTATAGGATCTTCACCTCATTATTGGCTCCAAGATTTTTTTAGGGACTTTTCATCCAGGTTTAGGAGAACATATATATATAACAATTAAATAGTAAACAAGTCCTATAAAACCTAAGGTCACCAATAGTCAAATTCATTCCTCTCATCCATGTATAATCGACCTGTAGATTGCTGATTACTAGAACAAGATTTCTAACAGACCATCACTTGGGAACAAAGGCACAAGTAGATCTCCAACATCACCCAACATAATCCCCATATCCAATATAATACTCAGTAAAATGAAAGTTTTTTAAATAATTTCTATCTTACTCCACAAGAAAAGTTTAACTGATGGAAATTAGGCTGCAATGAGTGATATTCGGAAAATGCTCAACAAATATTTCACTAGCCAGGCATTTTCATCCTGCTCCAAAGAAATTTTAATGCTAATATACCATTTAATCCAATTATGTCCCTAGAGAATTTTCGTAGAATAGAAAGATCTTTTACACCTCCCCATTCTCTTATAGATTTAACTCATTTCAAAATCCAAAGCTCTTGGTGGCTCCTGAAGACTTATTTATATTTCCACTCAAGTGATATCTCATATCTCCATATGTGTCTTAGCCTTATATCTAACAAGGCAAGTGGTGATTCGAGTAAAAAAAATTTTTCATTCTTGAAATGAAATGAAATATATATATCACAACGTTGTCACAAAAAATTATTTTATGAATTATTACCTTTATTTATCACCTTTTTATTATATTAAGATCTAAAAAAATATTGTGCCTCAATGATTTAAAAGTACCTGAAAACCACCGTCCATGCAGTGCATTTACAGATTTATATGAGGCCACAATGGATGGACATTTGACATAAACATTGCCTGCTGGAGAAGCTTTATCAACAAATATGTGAAGAACACCTAAATATCAACGTTTAAATTAGCAATAATTTCATTAATGCAAAATAACACAGAGAAACGTTTGATAAAATAAAAAACCCTATATTCACCTTTCGACAATTTTTAAAATTAGGTTGCATCAATTTTAAAACTGAATAACCAATAACCAATAAAAAAATTTTACCTCCATTTTTGGCGCATTCATCAATAACATCATCTCTTACTTCATCAGCCCAATTTTCCCCAGTCTCTCTGTAAAAATTATCCCATCAATAATTAGATCTTTGCAAAAAAAGAAAAAATATATGAAATTTTATTTTTGGAAAAAGCCTACTGAGAAGGATCAAACATGTTTGACAACATAAAGCATTGTGTGGCAATAGAAGGAATATTTTGACCAACGATGTCGTGACTCTGCTGACTCTGATTTAACATCTGCTTTGCGCTTTCAGGTAATTCCAAACCAGTACCTAAAAAAATTCAACAAATTTAAAAAATTGAAAAAACTGAAAAATCCACTAATGAACATTATCTTGATCTAAATTACTTTCATCTTTAATGAATTTTTGGATTAAATCAGAAATTTTATGATACCTTTAGCCAGTTTAGCCATAAGATGAAGTCGACCGTTAGTTCCAAGATCTATCCCTCTTCTGTCAGCATCATCAGTGTCAAGAGTTCGCTGGGGAATTTGGGGAGGAGGTTCATCTCCTTCAGCTGCACATACCTGTTTATCTTTTTTAAATTACATTTAGATCTAATGAAAAATTCAAAATAAAATATATGTTGAAATCACGAACGACGATAGACAATTCAATAGAAAAAAATAATATGAAATTATTAAAATGCAAAAAAATACCTTCATAGCTCGTCCAGCTAATTCGAAACCGTTCATTTGTTCCATTGCACGTTTAGCATCATCTCCATGACGAAACTTAAGGTAAAAGAAAAGTGGAATCAAAATTAACCATTAAACTAAATTTTAAAAATTTATTCCTAACAGATGATCGACAAAAATTACCAAAGATTTTAAAAATGAGAAAAATTTGATTGGGCAAAAAGAGATCAATTTATTGTAAATTTTTTATTACTAAAAAAGTTAAGATAAGAAATACGGTGACGTATGCGTATCCTTTTGATATTCCACTTAAATCTGTGGCGATTTCGAGATTCTCTATCTGAAATTTATAAGGCTATAGGCCACAGCAAAGAATTTAAATATTATTAGAATAAAAAAGAAAAATTTATGAAAAAAGTGAACATTTTTCAACAATTTAGTTTTTTTTAAAAAACTTTTTTATTTTCTATTTTTACATATAAATTTATAAATTTGCCAAGGTATTTTATTTATCTAAATTTACTTATCAAGGAAATTACTTTATATATCAATTTTCTGTGAATTCTTTCAATTAGCAACAACAAGAAATTTACCTTGCCAAAAGGATCAAATATACGAGTTAGCATGTCTTCTGTGATACTAGTATGCAATTGTCCAACATACAGTTTCAAAGGACCTGATGTAGCTGTGGGGCCGAAACCAAGAGTGCTACCAACTGTAGTATTCGCTGCACGATTTCTTTCAGCCAAAGTTGGCTGTATCACTAAGGGAGCGCCTAGTAACTTTTGTCCATTTAAACCGAGAGCCTGTATGATAATTTGATTTATATTTAAGATGTGCTTACTCTGATAATAAAAATCTGGACAAGCAAAAAAATCTACGTATAATGTCTGTGAAATTGAAACGCTAATATGAAAAATAAATCTAAACACCGAAAGTTTTCAAAATTATGGCTTTCCGATTATACACAACCACTTAACCACTGAACCCAAAACCTAATCAGCATTATTGCTCTAGATAAATAAAATAAGTTTTTTAGGCTATGTTAAATAACTTTAAAAATTCTTTTTGTGTCTTTGCGATCATTTCCATTCTTATGGTAGAAAAAATAGATACATTATGTGCTACTGTGGCTATAGGAAAAAAGAAAAATAAGCGATCTGATAAGTGAAAAGCAAACAGTGATACGCTTATAGCTGGGATTCTGGCTGTGATTCTGTTGAAGAGCCTCTAATCTCGGATTTTAATCTGTGATGAAAAATTTCTGTATAATATCGAAAGAGTGGAAGAGCAATGAATGGATAAAGATAAAATGATAAAATGTCAAAAGATGCTCATCGTTCGAGAACGAATATGATTATAAATTGATAATCTACTATTATCGCACTGATTCATTAAAACCGATCCTCGTGCGGTGATTATAGTTAAGTCATAAAACAGAAACGGTCACCACAAACTTCAAATGATATTAAATACTGAATAAATAATAATGAAAATGCACCACATAAAGCTAGACCACACGGATAGCTGCAATTTATCCTGTTGCAATCCTCCCTTTTCCAGTCTCAGATTTTCTAAATTCTATATCCTTTTCCTTTTTGCATGCTTTTGGCAATTTCTTTAAGGATAAATATTTTGGAAAAAAGACATTTGAAAATACCAACTAACTCATGTACCAACTCACATATTCCGCAGATAGGAATTATTAGGAATATGCCATTTACTATCCTTTTTTATTATGCTTGTATAAGCGTGCAGAATGTAATGAATAAGACTATAACATCAACATCGACAGTAAAAAGTAAAAGCAAGAACTTCCTACACGTGTCAACAGATCAAGTAAAGAGAGAGACACATAACAAATAAAATAAAAAAAATTTTATATATAAAAAATAAATTCATTTCTAAAATAAATTTAAAAATAATACAAAAAAGTACCAAATTTACGCTTTCGATTTCCCAGAATTCAACATAACAAATGCCCTTTGAGCGCCGAGTTTTTGAATCAGTAATAATTCTAACATCTCGAACATGGCCCACACTTGAGAAAAATTCTTCGAGATCACGCGGCCTTGTCTGGCGAGCAATCTAAAATATTAGATTTATAATCTAAAATAATAGAATAATAGATTTAGAATTACAGATTTTTATCTCACTTCAACAACCAACAGATATCTCCTTCTACTTTTTCAACAGCAATTTTTCATCATTTTTTCAAAACCATGTATGCTGACTGAAAAAAAAAGAAGATAAATGGTTAACAAATATTATTACTTCAAGAATAAGTGGGCCTAACCAAACCATGAATGCCATTAAAAAAAGAACGTTATAACAAATCGATTTTTCAAAAAATGAATCATTACTTGAAGGATGAAAACTGTACGTTGATCTCTCTCTTCCGAAGTCATATCCAATTTAGCATTGGGTGGTGGAGACCGACGTGCCGTGAAGGGCATTCTAAATAAAAAAATTCCATAATAAATAATCGAATTCTATAATAATATACACTAAATAATGCCTTTTTCGTTGAAAATAGTGGATTGTATTAAACTTATTAAACTTAAGCATAATAACTAATAAAGCATAATAGTTTGAAAGGAAAAAAGTTCTAAAAAACGTACACATCTCTTCTTTCAGGACCAGGAAGACGTGGTCCACGAGGAGGTGACCGTCTCCATGGTGGTGAAAATGCACGTCGATCACGATGATCTAACACGCGCGGACGGCTCCTGAATTACAAAAGTAAATAATAAAAAAAAAATCTGTGACAAAATCATTGAAATTATATGCTACAACTACACATAATCGAATGTTATATTGCTTCAGCCTAAAATTCAAATATGACATCAAAGTTTCTGCCTATTGCCCCATTAATGGGTGAATGAAAAATAAGACGGTAATGCTGGAGACCTGCCTCAGTCTCAGTTGCATATCTCACTTCTCAGTTATCTCAGTTTTCAGTCACTTAGAAAATATATCTCAATTACTTAGAAAATTCCGATGCATATTTCTGTGTTATGAAGCAATAGTTAATGATGGTTAATGAATAGCAATAGTTAAAATATAATTATACACATAATACTAAATGTTTCTTTGACTTAAAATGGTACAAGTTGTTTTTCTTTTTCTTTCAAGTGTTTTAATTCTCTGAATTGAATTCTCTAAATTTGACGGAAAAATGTTTCGGATTCCCCACGGCTAAAGAGACAGAACTGCTCCAACCCATGTAAAAACTGCTTTTTGCAATATTATACCTAAAGGAAGAATAGTGTCAGAACGGTGAATAAAACTGAATAAAATTAAGTTGATGTGGTCCTCGAGAATGTAGTGCGTTAATCCTCTCAGATCGTAAAGAACTTCAAAATATAATGGTGAGGTCTAATCTGAGAATTGGATTCACATGCTGTTCCACATAGTATCGTGTGGACTCTTCTATAAGGACGTTCGAGATTCCTTTTTATATTACAGAACGTCAAAATTCGGCATTATTGCAAAAAGATTCTTCAAAAATGCAATTATGCAAAAATGCAAAACGCAAAACAGATTCAGTGCAATAACAAAGAATGAACCACTTTGATCTAAGCCCAAATCTCTTTCAAAAACAATAAATATCACTTGGTACTCTTCCGCTAAATCAGTTATTTTTTTTAAAGAGTCCTCTTCATTAATGGCTAAACTCGCTCCGCTCGTCGAATATGCTAGGAAGTCTTTTGGCGACACAAGTTATTTATTATTTTGTACAGGTGACTATAATCTGGATATTTATTCCTGTGGAACAGAACCTCAACTTCAGCACTTCGGATTGAGCAAAAAACCAACAGGGTAATCCTATTCCCATTTGCTAATGAGGCGATTATAGGCGATTTGAGGCGATTCACAAATATAATTATGATAAAATATGATAAAATCATGAGAGCTTTCCGGTATGATCTAATCTTCTTCCAATTTCTACCTTCTCAAAAAAAAAACTCATCTTTACGCTTCCTCAAAATCTCGCATTAAATTTTCACTACAAATTTAATTTTAGTGATACAAATAAAAACATTTATGATACCAGGACCCCGATCTGCTTCTCCTTTTTCGATCTCTTGAACGGGATCTATGCTTTCGATCGCGTGATCTTGACCTTGAACGATGTTTGTCGCGTGAATGACGATGATCACGCGAACTAAAAGAAAATATTTTGTATTCTTTGTATTCAAAAATCTTAATCTTAAATCTTAAATATTTAAAAAAGTTTACATCTGTAAAATAGCCGTTTTTTTTTAAAAATTAATAAACAATAATCTAAAAATAATAAACAATAAATGATAACCGTGATCGTCGAGAACGACTGCGTTTTCTGGAACTTCGACGATCTCGTGAGCGAGTCCTAGAACTGTACAAAAATTTATTATTCCTAACATAAGCAGTATAAATTAATTAATTAACTTAAATTTAACTTAAATTCCCACAAATTCATATTGATATCATTAAACATAAAAATTTCTTGCTTTCTTAAATATTCAACTAATAAAAATAATGCATGCATACCGCGTTTTCCTCTTTCGGTCGCGACTTGAACTTCGCTTTTTTCTTTTTCGATCCCTATCTTTGTCTTTTTCGTCACGATGATGTGAGGATGACCTATAGATTAAAAATAAAAACTGATTTCAAAATGGGCAAGAGGGGAAATTAATTTAAGACAGAACTTTAAAATCTTTGTATATTTCCATCAGAATTAAGGCACATAAAGGAACGATTGTATTTTGATATTCTGATCAATGTTTTATCAAAAGAAATCAGACAATCTAAGATGAATAAAAAGAAAGTTCACAGATTCATGGGGACAATAAAGATATATTACAAATGAGAAAGAAAAAGCAAATATAATAAAAAATGAAGTTGTATCCACATCAGCACGTCAACAGAGGACACCTAAAAAAAATTGCGGGTGGGTTTATTTGGATGATTATTAGCTGAAATTGTTCGCAGATCCAATCGTTTCGCGTCCGCCAACGGTGTTATGCCTGTAACACTAGGGCGCGCCACAATTTTATTTCCTCAAACTACATGAATTTTAAAACGAAATTTTGAACCAAAGTCATATCAGTTTATCAAAACTTCTATCCCGAATGAATGGATTCAAATTTTTCCTTGATGGCGCGCCCGTATCGTATCGATAGGCATGAACACAAAACTGTCTGGCGTACCTCGTGTCAAATATTTTCTTCAACTGCTTCTCAAAAAAACATCTCCATATCCATCATCGAGAGTAGTGAAGTAAACGCTTTATAGGAAGAAATTTGGGTCATTGAGCATTCTCAATCGATTTATTTGTATCTCTACAACGACGTAGCGTCTTTATGTAGTTTTTGTTTTTTTTTTATTTATTAATATATCGTTTTTAATTTAAACTATCTATCCAAAAACCCATCCAATATTTTTTCCTCTTTTTCATGTAAAAATATTTACGCTAAAAAAATGGATTTTTTAAAATTCTACCACATATATTAAAGTAATAGAGCGCCAAAAAACTGAGCCAGAACAAATAAAGAATTCTTTAAAATAAACTTAATTCTAATCATTACTCCTATTTGAATTCATTTTACATCTTCTAAACATCTTTATTACCTAAAAGAGTAGAAACGATACAAATTATTACGCAATCGTACGATAAACAAATCCGCTGAATCTTGATAAACAATCGAGTCCGATGAACATGAATGAAATAGCGATATATCTCTGACGATATCTGAAGAATAAATAAGAAGTATAATTTATGATAAGCACCTGGATCGTGAGCGCCTTTTACGATCATTTCGGTCCTTTTTTTTATCGCTTGTTTCAATATTATCATCCTCTATATCCATTGCCTCTTGCTTATCTGTAGATTTTTTATTCTCGTCGGATTTTTGAACATCTTGCTGTATAATTGCCGCCATTGGTTCGTCGTATCCATTACCATTATTACGATCCGACTAAAATATCCATGTTTTTAAATAATCAAAAGATAAAAAGGAATTTTCACCAGTGTTAACCAATTTTTTCTCAGCTATTTTTATAATTAAATAATTATATATTATTAATAATTATCTATGTAATTATATATAATTATAATTATATATAATTTTTCAATGAAACAAAAAAAACATTATTACTTCATCAATTTTATCGAGTGCTTCTTCCAACATGGCATCAACATCAACTGCTTCACTCATTTTCCCAATTAGAACGATGTTCTGATTCTGAAATTTGCAACAGATTTATATCATATAGAAAATCTATAACGCGATGGTTCGACGCATTTTATGTATCGAAATAAATCATATTAAACTGAACAAATGGGCAAATTATTATAATAAAATCAATGCATGAATAAGAAAATTAATTTAAAAAGCAGCTTTTCTCCGATCTTTAATCTCTCTTTAGCAATATGTTCGGTGATTTAACGGCAATATGTTTGTCACCGAAAATCGAGACCGACGTTTAAAACCAACGAAGTCACCAGACCGCAAGACGGTAGAAAGGGTTTAACAGCACTAATAAAATGTTCTTCATGAATCCGGATAATGTCTCACCTACATTTATGTCACATGTGACTCTCTGGAAAAATTTTTTAGGACAATAGTGAGTTATATTTGAAAAATAGAAAATAAAATGCTTACGCTAAACAAAATGGAACCCAAAAAAACATTCACCTTTTTTAAATTGTAGAATCAAAGGGCAAAACTAAATAGACTATTTATGCCGTCATAACAATGACTGTTTAATAATTTTAAATATACACAACACACCATTTATAGATGCAATACACAATTTTAAATATACACAAAATAGCGTGGCGAATGAAAAACCGTAGCGAAAAATCACGCCATTTTATTTAAAGTATTTAAGCCACAAGATCCCCTTGATATTCATTTAAAAAAAAAAAATCTTTTCATATCCCTATCGCCAACTGAAACTTCATTCCCTCTCTTCATTCGACACAAGATTTACGCTATTTCTTACCTTCTAAGGCTTATTTATTAGGCTATCTCTTTTGGTTCTGGAGATAAAAGATATTCCAACCGCTCAATTCAAGCCTACATGAAATAAATTACTGCTTTTCCACTCTTACATCATACATTGCTATTATAGCTATAATGATTAAATATATCCAAAATCCCTTCCAGCTGTCCACTAATCCGAATCTAAACTGTTCTCAAACTCTTCCGAAAACATCCACCTTTTTGATATTTCAATTTGCAAGATATATTTCAATTTCTGCACTGAAGCTACAAAAAACAGATCAGAATCATGTAGGCAACAACCCTATGAAAAAAAATTAATATCGATGATAACGCTGAGATTCTATGCTCGCCGTATGCGTACTCAAGATATTTCAAAATCTTTATCAGTTTTTCCCATTCCCCTATCATACATATTAATCGAAAATAATTTTCTCGTGTATTTTTCCTAGCAATTAAACTTCTTCTTTCTTCTTAAGAGTCCTCACCATTACTGGTTAAACTCGCTCCACTGGCTTGTCGCATTGAGCAATATGCCAGGGAGTCCTCTGGCGATAGAAGTACGGGTGAGTCACCAGCATCACTCTGATTTTGCTCCTACGGGGAATCGAACAGCAGCTTCGGCTGCTCCAAACTGAGCAACAACTCACTGTGCCATCCTATCCCCCAATCAAACTATAAACACTTATAATAATAATAAAATAACATTAATGATAATAATAAAATTAAAT